TGCTGGTCAATATATTTGCATTAGGCTATTTGAAGAACTGGACAGTTTCTTGTTCTCTCATTGCTAACTCTGGGGCCTTGGCTTATGAGCCATTGCTCTGAACCACCACTCAAGGACAAGAGGATCGGGAGGTGTGAGATGTGCAGTGCATCGCTAGTGTGTGGCTGATTCTGTATGTGTTTCTGCTCCCAAGACTGATTTCCAGGGGGTGCCAGAAGTAGCTAAGTTTTATTTTTTTCTACAAATGTAAAAGTGTAAGTGAGAAGGGTCTATACAAGGTAATGCTCTCCAGCATCAGTTACAGCATTTCCTTAGGATTCTAATTGGGCCACAGGTAAATTTAAACTTTAGTTTAAGCTTGACTTTAAAGTTCCATCTCCTCTTCTCCTCCCAACATACCATCAAATCATGCTAAGCCTATCTCGAATTCCTAAAAATACACCCCAACAAGGGTATCTTGACACACTGTGGTTTGTTCACCTTACGGTTTGAAAACACAGTCTGAACAAGAAGAGTAAGACAAGGTTTGTGATGGGATAGATTCATGTCTAATTGTGTTCTGGATCATTGGTATGAAATGATTCTCATTTTGCCTCTAGGGTTTCCATAATTGTAGCAATTATCTCTGAAAGATTTTTTTCCACACTGATTTGGATGAAGTTTTCTGGAGCTGCTGGAGGCTCAAGAGTCTCAAACTGAGACTGCAGTAACTCAGGGGGCATAAAATGTCCTTTTCTTTTGAGTAAACGTCCAGAGATGACCTCGAAGGACCCGCTCAGATGGACCACGAGGAGCCGCACCTCAGCTGGCTCTTCTTCCTTTCCTGACTCGTCACACTTCCAAGCTGCACCCTCTTTTCCACGTAGTAAGATGTCTCTGTACATTTTCTTCAGGGCTGAACAGGCTAGAACCACACACTGTCCTGAGGCTACATCTCTGTTTAAAACAGGCAAAACAAAAAAAAAAAAGAGGAGGGAAGAATGAAGACATTCCAAAGAATAGGTGTCATTGTAGGTGTAAGACTACAGTCCTAGTACTCTGTCTGTGGGGAGTGTTAGAAACGTGAGGTTCAGAGGTAAGCTCAGGCTGTTCTGGCTTTGAGTTAAAGATCTTTTGCTAGGGGGAACCAGCAGTTAGCGTAATGGTTATGTCGCTGGACTCCCATGTAGTGGACCGCAGTTCGTGTCTCGGACCTGTGGCTTAAATCTCACGCCGGGCGTGTGTGCGTGCGTGCCCAAGATCCCGAGAGGAGAATGGAGGAGAAGGGATTGCGGCGTGACCATCCCCCCTGGGGGGTGATTTCTCGCTTTCTGTCTCTCTGTCTCTCTCTGTCTGTCTGGCGAGCACATGCGCCCTATAGCGAAAACCTCTCCAAAAACAAAAAAAAGATCTTTTGCTAGGGACCAGCAGATGGTGTAATGGTTACGTTGCTGCACTTCCATGTAGTTGTCCCGAACCTGGTGGCTTAAAACTCATGCTGGGCGTGTTTGCATGTATGCCCCAAATCCAAAGAGAATAGAGAAGAAGGGATTGCGGCATGGCCACCCCCATGGGAGGGGGTTCTCACTTTGTCTCTCTGTCTCTCTGGTGAGTACACACACACTGTAGCAAACATTTCTCTTAAAAAAAATAAAGATCTCATACTAGTGAATGGAACGATGGTGGGCAAGGGTAGTTACTTGTCGGGTGTCAGTTTATCATCTGTCACATGGGGTTATACAGGGGACCTGCGGTAGAGCTGTCTTAAGGAAAAAGTGGATGAGGTGGCTGGCATGTGGAAGTGCCCAGTTGGTGTTGGTTTTGTGGAGGCAGGACGTGGCTCAGCCTCAGAGTGTGGACACGGGGCTGCTGGTCTGCCCTGGCTCAGGGGCTCTGCAGGATGCTCCGTGATTTGCATTCTTCTCCTCACTTCTACTCTGCAATGTGGTGGGCATGTCCAAGGAGGTGCCAGTGTAGAGCAGAGACAGCAGGAGAAGAGTGAGCATCGCCTCTGTGTAGGCAGGTGAGCAGGATGTAAGATGTTTCCAGGGATACATTATGGAAGAAACCCGAGCCAGAAGCAGAGGCAGCATCACAGCACGAATGTGACCTGAGTGGCCAAAGGTCACACTAGAGCGAGCTGTGGCTCCATCCAGCCCATGTGTCCATGTCCCCAGGCAGGAGAGGCAGGCATCTTGGAGCTGGGCCTCTGGGAGGGGGAAAGCCACTGGTTATGAGACTGGCTTGGGTGAATAGGAGAAAATTCTCTACTCTGATCGAATGTCCTACTTAGACTGGAAACCCAGTGATGAAGCGTATCATAAACACCACACTGAGCCTGACTCTTCCAAGAGCCATGCGAGAACTGTTCACTCTGGATCCAGGGTGCTGACCTGTGCTCTCTGGAGGACCCTCACCTCTGCCTCCATGAAGGTGTTATAGTACAGTAAACAGACAGCTGAGAGACCCCCTGGGCAGCAGTTCTCAAGCCCTGAAACCCAAAACCCTGGTCACGCAATCAAAACCCTAAGCTCCTACAAAGATGGGGCTCCCAGCCATGTCGATGGGGAGTGCAAAAAACAAACTGATTTTGTAGTCAACTGTATTCAAACTTCATATGGCCCAGGAAGTATCAGGTTGATAAAATATGACTTCATCGTAGGAAGCAAGATTTACAGTGTGACACAGCCTTCCCTTTAATCCTAACCATAATCCAACTAGGATTCTCAGTGGAGTCAAGCCCAGAGATGGGTTTGGGGCCTGTTTACTGAGAGGCATCGTACAATGCTAGACAATGCAGGATTCTGATCCTGGTGGCCAGTTACCCAATTCACAAATGCTCTCAGGCGATCAGGCTATTGAAGTAGGGGAAGAAAAAGCAATGGGTAAGTATGGCTATAAATGGTGGTACCGGGCATGGGCAACGTACCATCTATGAGACCTGCTCTAAGTGTTACCCACGCACCTTCTATTCTCACAATACTCTGGCTGATCCAGATTCTTAGTTACTGATTGTGGAACAGTCTAGAAGGTCTATCTCCAGAGCCCGACTAAACTCCATGCTGACTGGGGCTGGTCAATGTCATCACTGGTTACTTGATAGAGAAGTATTCTATTTCTGGGTTGCTTTATCATTAGTTTTGATTTCAAGAGTGTATTTTCTCTCTATTCTTTCTTTTTTTCTTTTTTAATTGGGAGAGGGTTTTGCTATAGGGTGTGCTTGCCAGAAAGACAGAGACAGACAGAAAGCGAGAAATCACGCCCCCCCCCAGGGGTGATGGCCATGCTGCAATCCCTTCTCCATTCTCCTCTCAGGATACTGGGCATGTGTACATACACGCCCAGGGTGAGTTTAAGCCACCGGGTCTGGGACTCAAACTGCGGTAGGCTACATGGGAGTCCAGTGACATAGCCGTTATGCCAACTGCTGGTCCCTTTTTTTTTCCCCTCTATCCTTTTCGATGGGTTTTCTTCACTCACTGGCTTATCCGCGTGCCCTATGATCTCTTTCTCTTTCTCTCTCTCTCTTTATAAAGAATTATTAATTTAATTTATTATTATTTTTTAATTAGATCAGAGAGAGGTAAAGTGAGGCCATGCGGGAGTCTGGTGCCTTTACTACACCACCTGTCGATGATCTCTTACCTTAGTAAAATGTCATGCAGTTTGCAGAGCCATGGAATCCTGTCCTGAAATTGAAAGACACAAAGTGACTTTCCCAGGGATTGTTGGTGTAGAAAGTTTTATCATATTCACACATGTTAAGGGCCAGAGGGGTCTTGGTGGTTTAGAGAAGTGGGCCATGCCTAAGGCTGAGGGGCCAAGTCACTGCGCAGTTAACCACAGAAACATTTTCTTAGTTCAGGTGTCAGTGACTCTTTAAAAAATAATCAGAATTTCCCTAAGGTGTCAGGGTATTATCTCCTCCCATCCTAATGTTCCCATTGTACGCGTGTTTCCCCTCCTGGTACATTTACATTATCTTACTGTATGCATATATTTATATTATTAGGGACCTCCAATCATCATTGCAAAGGGGTGTTCACATAATGACAGCATACAAAAT